TTTTTTTTTTTTTTTTTTTTTTTTTTTTTTTTCCCCTACGTGGCAGTTCTGAACGAGAAGACAAATTTCCCAGGCAACACTCGCTCTATGCTACGCACGTGGCACGGAAGTTTGGTGCTGTAATGCGGTAGGGAAAGTCAAAACTGCTCAAAAATACGCAAAATTGCGACCTAGGGAGCCTACTGAGGTACAGGATGATGTGGGTTTTTTGTTTTTTTTTTTTTTTTTTTTTTAAATGGGGGTTATGTTTCCCCTTTTTCAGTCAGCGGGAACTTCACCAGACCTGGTCTAACAGAAAGGAAATATTTTCTTTTTGTTGGTTACCTCACAGATAAAGTGTGGAGGATTAGAGCGCTAGTCATTACTGCTCTCTCTTAAGCAGAAGAAAGGACAAGAAGCCCGTCAGAACCTTAGTCATTGATTTTCCTGGAGCAAAGGGTCACATGTTAAGTACTATTGATAAAAAGCAACGTTGCGGTGTCCATGGAGACCAGGTTGAGGTGAAAGTGAACTGTTACCGTTACCGTGACAGCTTTAGGTGGATCTGTAAAGAATCCGCCTTTTCCTCTAATCATAAGGAAGATCTTATTTATTCTACCTTGAGTGTTAGATCAAACCCATTGCTTCTGTGAGACCTGCTGCGCGGGGAGATGTGAAGTCACTGCTGACTTCGAGATATTTGGGGTCTGGTAAAAACTGCGCGGTGCTTGCAGGTGTCACAGCTGCTTGGGTGCTTCTGCTGGAACTCTTGTTGTCTTTTTTTTTTTTACATCGAATTAGTGTCAAGTTCAGTCTAGAAATAGCACGGCTGTAAGAGTTCCTTATATCCCTAAAAACTACGCGGGTTTAAATCTCATGAGTAATTATACGCATGTAGTACCAGGGCCTGCGTGCAACAGGCTTTGTCCTCTGCTGTGTTTGGGCACATTCTTGGATGTGCTTGGAGAACGTGCTCGGACATGGGGACCCTTATGCGGGTGTGCCCTTCCTTTGGGAGCCTTCAGAGCTTTTTCTGCTCAGACAGGTAGAACCAATGCTGCCCGGTCACGGTCTTACATGGAGCACCCCAGCCTCCTGCAAGCTTTCGATGAAATGGCTTGAGTGAGACTAGAGGCGCTCCTGCTCCAGTTAATGGCAATGTTAAATGGTTGCTAAGTGGCCCCATCGAGGGGTTAAACCACCCCAGTGGCAGATCTGCTGTGTAAGTATTGTTCCATTTGCAAGAAACTCTTTTTAATTTGCGTGGACACTGGCCTGAAGACCCTTTCCTCCCCACAACTATAACCAACACCTCTCCTAGAGGGCAACAAATTGTCTTGGGGCCTCCCAGGTGTGTTACTCACGCTCAGCTCAGCAGGTTTTTTTCCGTTTGAAATAAAGGGATAAAATGGAGCCTGCGGTTTGGAAATGATGGTGGATCACCCAAAGATCCACACAAAAATCTGGGTCATTGGAAAGTCTTCCAACCGATGGGATTTTTTTTTTTTTTTTTTTTTCAAAGTGGACTTGTGGTTTCTATCAGCTGGTTCAGTTCTAAATATCCCGTAAGTGGCACCTTTGGGGAAAAGTTGGCGTTGCTGCACTTTCCAAACTGAGAGACCCATGTGATTTGTCCCTTCTGGTGGGATTTTTCAATCCATAAATCATTCTTATAACCGTCTACCTGCATGAGCTGTGCAACAGGTTTCCAAAAGCATTCCTGTCCCTCCACTTTATTGTTTCTTCTCCATATATATATATGTATGTATAATTTATTTTTTTTTTTCCCTGAATGGGGGCAGCTGGGATTTCAGAAGAGCTTTGTTGCTCTTGGAAAGAGCAGGAGAAAGATGGAGTTGTTCTTTCTTCCCCTCCTCTAAGGAAATATCCAAATGCTCCGCTTTCTTCTCTACCTGGGAAATGTGTTTTAAAGCCACTCTCTGGGTGTTTGCATTCTCCCATAAACATTTTATATGTAGGCAATTTCAATATGCAAAGTGACCAAATCTGTTTTTAAAACGATCGCTCTGGTTTTGAAAAATGGGAGTTTGTGCTGCCCTAATGCAAACCAACGCGGCATTATTTCACTCGGCAATGAAAAGCTGAAGTATTGATTTTGAAATGTATAATTGATTGTAACAATAAATCACGGGGCAGTATATGTGCAAAATTGATTTTTCTATTGCCATAATTAATTTGATATGCGCTGTAACGTATTTATGCGGGGACTAAGCAACTCAATAATGGTCATAAAATGTATTTGGTCAAAACCCATCCACGGTGATGTGGTTGACTTTCCTCTTTGTCTAAAAAGGTGTAATGCAGTGCTGTAAGAGATCATATAGATGCAATTGTGCAACTGGGAGGTCTTGTTCCACAAGAAACCCTTAATGCCCTGAATATCTTGTATCGTGCTGAGTAAAAACATTTGAGGGACTGGAGACTTGCAAGGAACGGCTGGTGCCCAGATTGTTTGGTGGACAATATCAGCTCTCTTATCAGTCCAGCCCAATAAATCTAGTGGTTTCTTGCTGGACAAACTGATAGAAACTGTAATAAAGAACAGAATGAATAGACATATGGATGAACATGATATGAGGAGGAGGGATCGATACAGCTTTTGTATTAAAGTCCTTTGAAGGAGTCATTGAGCGCATGGGCAAGGAGATCCAGTTGATACTGTTGGGCTTGGCTTTCCTTCAGTTTTTTGATAAGATCCCTCACAAAAGGCTCCTGAAGAAAAGCAGCTCCTGCAGCTTAAGGAAAAAGATCCCTTTGTGATAAGCAGCCGATGTGACTGAGAACAAAGGATGGAGAGAGGTGTTGGCTTGTCTCGGCCGGGGAGTGCTGGCGGTGGAGTCACCCAGCGACGCACCCGCACTGGCCTAGTGCATGGGATGGAGAGCGAGGAAGCATGGCTTAGCAATTTAGTGTAGCAAAAGCGAAAGCTGATTGCTGAAAACCCTTACAACGCCGAGCGCCTGGGAGATAACAGCGTAAATGAAATGCCATGTGGTCAAATATAAAGCGAGGCAGGGAGAACACACGTCCCTGCTGCTGCGTGCAGACCCGGCTGCTGCTGCTCAGAAAGGTCTGGCTGTTCAAAGTCTGGAAGCACAGGGGACTTGCAACAAAAATAGCATGGCCAGCAGGGACAGGGAAGGGATCTGAGCCCTGGGCTCGGCACTGGGGAGGCCGCCCCTCGCTGAGGGGGTTCAGTGTTGGGCCCCTCACCCCAAAAAGGCCATTGAATGACTCGAGCGTGGGCAGAGAAGGGCAACGGAGCTGGGGCAGGGTCTGGAGCACAGGTTTAGTCTGGCTCTGAGGAAGGATTTCTGTGCAGAAGGGGCTGTTGGGCGTTGGAATGGGCTGCCCAGGGCAGGGGGGAGTCCCCGGGATCCCTGGAGGGGTTGAAGAGTCGGGCTGAGCCAGCGCTGAGGGATCTGGGGGAGTTGGGAACGGTCAGGGGGAGGGTCATGGTTGGGCTGGAGGAGCTGCAAGGGCTTTTCCAACCCAGAGGATTCTGGGATTCTGGTATTGGGGTTGAATGACAAATGAATGGGATTGAAAAGAAAACAAGCCCTGCAGTGCCACACAAACCTCTACTAAGCACGGGAAGGAAAAAAAAGTACAAGAGAAGGGGACAGGAGGGGCCAAGTCGATGGGCTGGTGTCTGTATCACAGCAACAATATTCCATCAGACCTTTCTCCCAGGAGAGAGGTGGCGGAGATGGGTGTCTGGCCATGTAGGGCAGTCTGAGCCATCAGGAAGGGACAGTTTCAATTTGGGCTGTTAGACTGAGATAAAATCCCTCATACAATCAAAGCAGGCAAGCAATATTTAGACAAAAAGAAGCGATTGGTCTTGGTTAGTTGCATTGCTGCTAACTCTGACAAATAACTCAGCAAAAATTCTCTTACGTGTTCGGATCGGCCATAACTTTATTCCCGAGACGTTTCACTTTCTTTACATGGGTACAGCGAGGCTGAAGTAACATCTCCGTGAAGGTCTGTGGAATTAAAATGGAATAAAAAAAACCCATAATGGTTAGAACTACTCATGTTGATACTTGTATCCTACCGTCAAAAAAAAGGCAACTTTGGCCCTTCGGGTTGCAAGGGAAAAATGAGTTGTAGCGTCTACTCAACCCCAGAGCTGCCATTTGTGCTATCTTAGGTATTCTAGTGGCCTGTTGAAATGAAAAATTCCTCAAAATGGAGAAAATGTACTGTCTAAATGAATTGTCTCTATAGCAAAAGTATACGGTTTTCTTTATGCCAGCGTGAAACTTTTTTAGATTTGATTTGATTTCTTCTCAAAACGATTAACTTAGTAGAATGTATGTTGTTACTAGGAAAAAAAAAAACCACACACAGCTTTTTTACTTTTTCTTTTTTAAAAAAAAAAAAAAAATTATTTTATGTCCTTTATTTTTGTCATTTCCTTGCCAGGGGAAATAAATAAATAAATAAATAAATAAATAAATAAATAAATAAAAAAAATCAGCAATAATATCTCTTCTTTTACAGAGCATCAAAGTTAGCTGGTTGCCTCCACCACCAGGTACTCAAAATGGATTTATTACGGGCTATAAAATCCGACATAGAAAGACTACCCGCAGGGGTGAGATTGAAACACTGGAGCCAAACAACCTCTGGTACTTGTTCACAGGTCAGTGTTCACATGGTACAGCCTTGCAAGGTTTTGATGAATTAAATGCTTTGGGAATAAAATATACTTTCACTTCAAGGGAACATTGATTTCTCTGCTGGCAGGTAGCATTTATTGTGTCGTACAAAGACAGTCTTTAGGGTGCTTTTTCTCAAGCAATTTTTTTTTTTTTTTTTTTCCTTAATGCTTTTATCATCTGCTTGTCTCCTGGATTTTATCATTAATGAATTTGAAGCGGCATTGCTTGTGTCCAGTATCTTAAGCCACCGCTGTTTTTTTTTCTTTTCTTTTTATTATTATTTTTCTTTTAGAGCATTCAATCAACATCTCATATTTTTCTCATGGGTGCAAAAGTATCGATTTCCCCGGCTTCTTTGCCAAGAATTTCGATGGAAAATATCTCCTCACAGAATAAAAAGCGCAACAGTAGATCATAGCAAAACTATAATTGCAAGAGAGAAAGTAGCCAGATGAGTGTCGTAAGGGTACCAAGTAATTTGAGGGGGTGAAAATGAATTTCACCGGGGTTCTTGTGTGATGCTGAAGACATAACCGAGAAAGCAGCAAAGCGTCAAGGGCAAAAAAATTAAACTTTTGTCAAAGTTTTGCCCCTGGATCCAGTGTAGCCATGATTTCACCTCAGAAGACCTGAATTACGTCTACTTTCACGTGTAAAATGTAAACGATGAGAATCAGAAGTGATATTTCAGAATAACCGTATCGTTTTCGGGGTTGGAAGGGGAAAGCACGATTTTGTTTCCAAAATAAATCAAAAGTAGAACGTTTTTTTTTTATGAGGAAGACCGTAAATAATGAAATCTCAACTTGGTCATCTAACCTTGCTCTTGACCAAATTCCTCACGGAACCCCTCGTGAAGGCAGCATCACACCTGCACCACAACTTCTTCCTGGGGGGAATGAGAGCATGTTAAGCCCGTTGAGCGAGTTGGAATGGATCTATTTGCTGGCGGACAAAGCAGAAATAACGATGCAAACCGCTCAGATGTTTGAGCTGCTGCTGCTCTGAGGGCTTAGAGAAGAAAACGTAGCGATACCGTTAAGTCTCGGAGTGAAGGCACGGACCTCCAGAGCTCTGCTCCCATCATCCCTCCCGATCCCATCCCTGCGGATCACACCCTCGGCGAAGGGAGAAAGGCTGTGGGAAGGGAAAGCCACCTGGGAGCAGAGCAGATGAATCTCTATGGCTCTACATCCCCCCACGTCTTGAGCAAAGTCTTTTCTTTCACATGAATTATTCCAGGCTTGAAGAGCTGCGGGAGTCCTGGTGCTTCCGTACAGCCCGAGAGTGAAGCGCTTTGTTTCGCAAAGCTTGGGAATACGTGTTTTAGAAAGCAATTAAGAACAAAATATCCAGGTCTCGTTATTACTTTCTGCATGCATATAGTGCGATTGCTGGAGACCAAGCGACGTGGCTCTTCTAAATGGACATTTTTAAATATTAACGCCCCGGCACTTCGCATCTTTGCCGCAATCCTATTTGGTAGGCAGGTGCTTTATGGGATAATCAGAACATCTGCAATAGCAAAGGAGTTCGGAGTTACAGTGCAGGTTTTTAAATAGCCACTATCAATTTTAGAGGAGGCTTCCATGTCAGCTAAATGTTAACTGCTCTTTTTAATTATGAGCCTTGTTCTCCAGAGAATGTTTGCAATTAAACGAAACGTTTTTTGCCAGCCCCCTGCACTTTGTGGTCAGTATAGACTGAGCAAAAAGATAAACCTGCATCCCTACCTCGGGGACTGAGAAGTCTTGTGGCACATTCCAAAACGCGGCAGTAATTGTTTTCTGATGGCTTTAGCCACAGAGGAAAATGTTTTATTTCCGAATTCGTGCTCGTTTCATAATATTGGTAAGACTTCACGGTTTTTGCCTGAACTGTGTGCTCTGAAGTCAATCAGGAGCACCAGAAAGCAAAACGCTCTTCAGTTGCTAATCCAGTGCCTAGCCTGGAAATTTGATGCATAAGGAGAGTGTTCCTGCAGTTCCCTGCATGCTAAAAGCAGTGGGTTGGTTTTGTTAAGTGTGCAATGAATGGCAAAGTTATGTAAAACAATTCTTCATTTTTCGACTAATTGCACATCCATTAATTTAATAAGTACAAGCACGACCTATGGAAATTGCGACCCAAACTAATCCTGGGCCGGTGCAGCCCTCAATCGTTTTTTGAAGCCTTTTCTTTTGGTCAGAAATCTCTTTTCCCACGTGAATGACGACCTCCCCCCAGTGCTTTTGTGCTACAGCCCTGCCCGGGCACCGCTCCTGCAAACTGGGCAGCGAGACATCCTGGCTTGTGTCAGCACTGGTGTGGCCAGCAGGAGCAGGGAGGTGACAGTCCCCTGTGCTCTGCACTGGTGAGGCCACACCTGGAGCCTTGTGTCCAGGTCTGGGCACCTCAATCCCAGAGAGATCTGGAGGGGCTGGAGCGAGGGCAGAGGAGGGCAACGAGGCTGGGGAAGGGCTGGAGAATAAATCCTGTGAGGAGCCAGGGAAGGAGCTGGGAGTGTTCAGTGTGAGGTGGAGGAGGCTGAGGGGAGCCCTCATCCCTCTCTGCAGCTCCTGACAGGACATTGCAGAGAGGCTGGGGCTGGGCTCTGCTCCCAGGGGATCAGGGACAGGACAAGAGGGAACGGCTGGAAACTGCCCCAGGGGAGGGTCAGGCTGGGCAGGAGGAGAAAATGTTTCCCAGCAAGAGTGGTCCGAGAGTGGAACAGGCTGCCCGGGGAGGGGGGAGTCCCCATCCCTGGGGGGGTTTCAGGGCCGTTGGGATGAGCTGTGGGGGATGTGGGGTAGGGGAGAACTTTGTAGAGTTGGGCTGAGGGTTGGACTCGCTGATCCCGAGGGGCTTTTCCAACCTGAAGGATTCTGGGATTCTGAGAAGCTTTGCAGGGCTGCACTGTGCAGGGGGAGTCCCTTGCTATGTATTTGCATATATATTTTTTTATATTTGCATTTCTTTCTGTTTCCTTACATATGGTAAATCCAACGGGCTATTACTAGAGATTTCATTTTACACAAAGTCTACTACAAACTCTGGGATTGTCATTAATTTGTTTTCTTCATCCTTCTGTACGATTCATCCTTCTGTATGATTTTTATTTGTGGTTTTTGTTGTTGTTGTTTTCTAAACAGGACTTGAGAAGGGAAGCCAATACAGTTTCCAGGTGGCTGCCATGACGGTGAACGGGACAGGGCCCCCCTCGGACTGGTACACAGCAGAAACACCCGAGAACGATCTCGATGGTAAATGCATCTTTTTTTAAAAGCTGTTGTCTCCTAAAGGCTTCTAGCTGAGGGATGTCACGGCAGTTGTCGCTCAGGCCGAGGTTAGGGTGACACACCCAGGGTCTAAACACCCACCAACAGATGTTTTTGTCTATTCCTGGTTCCCACATGCTTTGGATTGTGTTTCTGTGTTACCACCAAGACCAAGGAGTCAGAACCCTTTGTTAAAATAATTCTGTGCCAAAATTTAGCTCCTGGGCATCGGGGCCATTTGTGATAAGGAGGCGAAGCGAATCTGTGACTTCATAAATGATAAATGTAATCAATCCAAAGAAACGATGAAAATGATGCCAACAATCCGAAGAATTCACTAAGCAAATATTCAAATAGGTCAAATCCTGTTTCCCAGCCTTTCTTTGGAAATGTTAGAAATGCAGGTTGGCAAGGGAGCTGAATAATTAGTGAAAGATGATGGGATGCAGATACCTGAAAACTGTGGGCTATATAAATCAGTGCAGATGCTGACACAAAAAGGGAAGAAAAACACTGAAATGAAAGGGTTACATAAAATGACTGGGATATTTGAAGTAGCAGAGGAATGAAAGGAGAGGAATGAAAAAGTCTACCTCAAAAAAAAAATTAAACGGAGTGCAAATCAAATGGAACAAAGAATCTGACAGATGGAAGTCACAGCAAAAACTACAGACAATCCGTAAGAAGCAAATACGCGGCAGAAAGGAGATGAATAGGAAATACAAGGAAACTGATGAAAATTGCTAAAACAAAATAAGTCACCTAAAAAGGATCAAAAGCAAACTGGATGAAAGAAGAAATAAATAATCAGATTAAATGCGCCGTACTACTTGATGTTGCCTTTCTTTTGACTGGCCAGATTTCCTTAGGAGCTCAAAAATTCAAATTGAAGAATTTCTGCCTTTTCCAATGTCTAAAAATCAATTTTCCGGTGCACCAGGAGTGACCGTCGTGTGCGACATCAAAAAGAAAGAACCCGGGGTTTCTCTTCAGGGTTTTAAAGAAAAGGTGATGCTTCTAGACGGGGTGTAACCATACCAACGGGCCACGCCACGCCGCCGTGCGTGATGATATCTTTGTAGTTACGCTTCGGCTGGAGGCGATGTGGTTAAGGTGTGAGCAGCTGGCTTCTCACTGGCGAGGGGGAAAAATAAATTCTGAACACGCCACGGAAAAAAAAAAAAAAAAAAAAAAAAAAAAAAAAGGAAGACATTTGAGCACATTCGGTTTGATTTGTATTTCGTGCCCACGACGTTCCTTTGAAGTTGTTGTGCCCACGTACGTGCGCGCACGTGAAGGCATTAATCGAGTCGCTGCAGGGGCTGTGCGATGGAGGTGGGCTCCTGCAAATAAATTCAAGCCAAGCCGTTTTGTTCGCGTAAGGTATTTCCGTGCATTTGCATTCGCTGTAGTGATGAGTTCTCCTCGCGGAGCTGCAGCAGCCTGATGCGGGGAATGCGCTCTGTGGCCGGCGAGATCGAATTTCTCTGAGAAAACCTGCGGAGAAATCTTATTCCTGTAGTTACGCAAAGTCCTGCAAGTGTTGACTAACCATAGGGTGGGCCAGAGCAAGGCTGGTAACTGCAGTTCCCTCTCTTGTCCCTTGGCTAATTCAGTTCCTCTTGCTTTCACTGGAAGCCTGGTTGGCATCAGCAACACGAAGACAAACATTATCCCCGAGAACGGCATTGACTCCCGGTGGAAATTCTTTTTTTTTTTTTTTTTTTTTTTTTTTTTTTTTGTAAGCGATTAGAAATCCAAACATAGCTGCTTCTTCAAGGTTCCCTAGAAAGCTCGCATGCCTTTACTGACAGCTGGGAAGGTTTTAAATATTTATTTTCAACCTCAGATTTTGTGCTTTAAAAAGAAGAAGGAAAAAAATGGGAAAAAAAAATATTTAAAAAATAAATGGAAAGCAGTAGGTTTGTTTTTTGTTTTTTGTTTTTTTCCCAAAGGGTCTGTTTTAAATAGCTTGAGCAAAGATGCAAGAGAATCTCTGATCAACTTAGCAAAGGTATCCTCCAGGAAAATGAGTTTAGGATGCTTGGTTTCTGATTACTGCATTGAACAGATGGAAGCTGTTATACATATTAGAGAGCAATATAGTTTAGCTTCAGCTCTAAATTAGTGCGTTAAGAGCATGACAAGCTAGACTGCTATCATATTGTAATTTATACCGAAAAGCGATCGGGGAAATACGTGAACAAAATAGGATGAATAAAAAGTACCCTGACTTTGTAAACCGTACACCTTTGAACGTCTCGGAAAATTGCTAAAGTGACCGAAATGTAAAGCATTTTTTCCAGCTTGACGGTGGAATTAGGGGCCTTTAAGTAGAGCTAAGCACGGTAGCTCCTGGATGGAAGACGTGGGGACTCAAAGCCATCACGTAGAAGCCCAGTGAAGGACTTGGAGGCACGTGTGAGCAGATGCGACATCCCAGGAGGAGATGTCACACCAGGCAGTGAGACAGAACTTCAGCTTCCATTTCCTGGGAGCCTAATTGTGTCTATAAGGGAAAAAAAAGTAAGAAACGCAGCACCTAGAAATCTGATTTCATGGCGACATCTCCTGAGGAACTCTCCTCCTGCGTGCCAGATGTTGTCTTGGGAGCGTGTGTCTGCTTTACAACTATCCCAAAATTTCCTCACCCGAGAGGAAAGCGATAAACTCTTGGCGCAGTCAGAAGCAAGATTTTTAAATGTGGTTCCTTTGGGGTTAAGGATGAAGAACTCAGTTGGCACTTCACGCAGGAGAATGGAGAACTCAAGCCCTCAAGGTTGAAGATCATGTTCAAGCCCAGGAGATAGAAAAGTAAATGTGTCGATCTAGAACACATGCGAGGAAATGAAAAAAAAAAAAAAAAAAAAAAAAAAAAGCAGAAATACGCGATATTTGTGTCAATAAGGATTTTACTCCTGGATATCTGAGTGCTGGGATGCTGAGAATCAGCAGATCCATGCAAAGGCTGGATGGTCCGGTTGCCTGAAGAATTGATGGATTTCGATGTTTGCCTCTGTGTTACGTTTGGCAAAAGTCCTTACGGTGGGAAATGTGCTTCATGGGAAAGAAAAGCAAAAAAAAAAAAAATTTGTTTGAGGGGAAAAATGAGTTGATTCTGACCTTTAACTTTGTACTTTGGGTTGTGAACTACATGGCACAAGTTATACAATCTGGAGCTGTTTCAGAATCAGAAAAGTGTTGGGTTTGGATTTGTGTTGTTTTTTTTTTTTTAAAAAAAAAAAAAAAAAAAAAAAGTGAAAAATTAAAAAAAAAAAAGAGCAACTCTCTATTTATGCAACTTTAATGTTCAAACAACAGTTCAAAAATATCATTTTAGAGACTTAATTCGCAAGAAGGGTACAAGGAGTTAAACTGCCTTTTGGCTTTTTGAAAGAAAAAGTCAGGATTTCGCTCTGAAACGCCCGAGTCGCGTATTTGAATGGTTCGAAATCAAGAATACGCCGTGTTTGAATAAAGTAGTTTTAACCTAAACGCCTGCCTAGAGGTTATCTGTAGCGCAACTGAAATCCCGGCGTCGTGGCAGATGTAAAAAAAAAATGATCGTTGGAAGGCAAATCGGGTTCTGTGAGTGCTCCCGTCTCCTTCGTTCCCCGAGAATTGCCACTTTAGGAAGCTGGAGGAATTTCAGTCTTGCTCCGTTATCCAGCTTCCCATTTCAAGGCATTCAGTTGTTATTTTATCGCCGGGGCTTGCGAGAAATCCTTCTGTCTGTTTTTTCAAGCAGCGCTGTTGAGGAACGGCTCAAGTAACTCTTGCTTCTGCATTAAAACCGAGTTTGGGAGGGGAGTTGGGGGTAAACGGCAAGTTAAACCTGACTTACGGTGGCCCCGCTGGTGCCATCTGTTTCTTCTTTTTGCGAGTAGCGCCTTTGCAGTGAGTTTTCTTCGACCTGTAAACGAGACCCCGCGCTTTGCAATTTTAAAGGAGTCGAATGCAAAGGACTTCTAAAGTTGCTGGGTGGTTCAGACCGGTAACGTACTAATTAATCGGACTTCCCCGAAGGGGCAACGGGTTGTCGGAGTGCTCTGACGTGTGCCGAAGAATTCATCGGACAGGCCGTAAAATACCGAGGCCGCGTGTCGTGCTGCTTAGTTAATTCTGGGTTTTATCGCTTTTTTCCAAGGTTTACAGTGGGAATGCTTCACAACTGCGAAGTGTCTTTTGTTTGAGTTTACATCATTTTAGATTATTATTTGTTGGTTTGGTTTTTTTTTTTCTACCTTGTCCTTGTTGCCGTCTATAAAAACTTTCATCTACTATATTGCAAGCCTTTTTATTGGGGGAAAATAGTAACTTGTCTCTTTCTGCTCTCAAAAAGACAAGCTACTGTGCAGCTCCTCTGAAGAGACTTGTGCTATGGTGGTTACCGGGTAAACTCAAACAAAAGGCATTTACTCCTCTAATCCTGACAGTAAAACGTGGCTTGTAGGAGGCAAATAGACACCAAGTGATTCATTGCTACGTAATGATTTTTTTTACCTGGGAATTCCTGTACTGAGACTCTCTCATACTATGATTTCATTTTGGAAACGTTGGTGCGTTATTTCGAGCAGCTTCAAAGCAAGAGCTGTGTGGCCAAGAGGGAAATTCCCGCCTTGTTTTCGTGGGAATGAGACAGATTATTGCCGGGATGTACAAGTATATCACCAATAAAGGAAACCTGTTTGTTAAATAACCTGTGAGTGCAGGACAACTCATGCGACCAACGGTCAGGATCCTGCTGAGCTTGCAAATAGACCAGGGAAGAGAAAATTTGTCCTCCTGGAAATTCTTTTGCGGGTCACCTTTCATTTTCCTGCATCGTTTGAAATCTCTCCTGTAGCCTTATGCTAAAGGTGGAAAGCAGTAGGAGATATTTGATTTGAGGCATATCGGTGCGTTTGGAAGGGAAGGATGTAGCTCAGAAATGAAATTGCATGTAAGCTCTGCATGTAAATCGGGGGGCACCTGGTTGGGTTTTGGGTTTTTTTTTGTGCGCTTATTTTTAATCTAAACTCAAGTTTTTTTTTTTTTTTTTTTTTTTTTTTTTTTCTCCTTTTTTGAATCCCAGAATCTCAGGTTCCTGACCAGCCAAGCTCTCTTCATGTCAGGCCCTTGACAACAAGTATTGTCATGAGTTGGACTCCTCCACTGAACCCAAACATTGTCGTCCGCGGGTACATCATCGGCTACGGCGTGGGCAGTCCCTATGCCGAGACCGTGCGAGTGGACAGTAAACAGCGTTATTACTCCATTGAAAATTTGGGTAAGTAGTTATTTCCATTCATTTCATTTCACAAAAAAGACGTTCCTCTGAGGTTATGCTATTTTTGTGGGTTTATTTTTAGGCTTTCGCCGGTGCTTTGTTCGTACGTGCTGCTTGCTTAAGCTGTTTCTGCAGTCCATTTTCTGTTTGGTCTTAGCTTCAAACCTCTGGACACTCTCAAAGATGTCCAATTTCTTTGCTCAGAACGCTCATTTTATTCAGTAGGTCTTATTAAATCATCTGCTCCTAATGCTGACTCCCACTTGTGCAGAAAACTGGACCTAAAGATCTTATTCCCTGGGCTGGCCTCCCATGTTTGAATTTAATGGCAATCGCAAGACTCCAATTTTGTGTCTGTCAAAATGGTGCCGAGAGAGTGGTGGAGATTCATTATTCATGGCACAGCCTCTGTGACAGTTCATCTAAATTCTCAGCGTGGTATGCAGAGACCTGGATCCTTGCAGTGGTGACGGACCGTTCTCCTAGCACTGGGAAAAACAGTTCAAAGTTTAAAGGCAGTCAAAAAGTTTAATGGTTTCCTCATCATTTCTTCTTTAGCACTTTTTATTCCGAGGAAAAAATGGGTAAGTTCTGCTTGGCAGTCTGGGAAGGATCAGATATTACAGGGGGATTCATTAACTTGGTGCATTAGGGGTGCACGGCGAGACTAGTTATCTCAGTTCTAGCAGACCAACCAAAACTCTTGATATCTGGGGATATTTTTTCGTCGGAATTGGTATTTTACAGCACTACGAAACCACATTGTCCAGCTTTTTTTTGCCGTTTCCTTTGGGAATCCTGGACTAAATTGTTTCTACTGCCGCTTTATCAAACAGCTTCTCTCTGTCCGGGTGCGCACGTTACGGCGGAGGTATTTGCAAAAAGCCTAGCCGCTCCCCAATATTCGGCGGGTTCTGCAGAAAATTTGATGACGTTTTGTACAAACGCAAAGTTATTATGTAAAATGGAAAGGTATCTGACTGGCCTACGCAAGAAATTTTGTGGAAGCGAAAGATAAAAGCTATTACCGGTCAAGGTTTGCGTCTAATAACGGATGGTCGGGACTAAATGCAAAGTTGTGGGTTTGGGTTTGGGTTTTTTTTTTTTTAATTCCAGAAGGGATTCAATTTCTCCCAAGCCTATTTTAAGTTGTTTCGTATCTTTAATGAGTTTTCAGTTGAGTCCTTCGCCACTGTTAAGCCAGTAGTAGAAAATCAAATTTATATAGACAGGGACTATCTCGGCCTTTGTGCTTTGGCTTTAAGAGCTGAGGAGAAGATGCCTACACAGCTCAATTTTAGAGAGTTCCAAATGGCCAGCTCTCGCTAAAAGTGTCTTAATTAACAACTGGAGAAATAACCTGGGTTGGGTGAAGCTTTAGTGTTTGTTTTCCTTCCTGTATTCGACGACCAGTTGGATATATTCGCTCATAAAACTGATAGCCACTACCCTCGGGTGGAAAAAAACGCCAGGAACAACTTGAAGCCGCTTGCTTGCCATCTGGAACATTCCAAGAAACTTGTTTTGACCACATCAAATATTTAATTACAAATAATTCGGTCTCAGAAATCAGGGTTGGCACCTTTTTTTTTTTTTTTTTTTTTTTTTTTTTTTTTTCACATTCTCCAACAGACCGAGAATTCTTCCCGAAAGTTCTTCATGATTCAAAGTATCTTTTTTCATTGCACATTTATTTTTTTTTGCTTTGATGGCAAATATTCAAAAAGTGAGCAGTGTAACTTAATTGTCATCGTCCAGATAAGCCGCCTGCATTCGGTCTCTAACTGGATAAGGATACAAGCACTTTGGTCAGAAATCCTGACGTGCACGTTTTAAATTCGACTTCTCTGAGCATTCCCATGTACAACTTCGAAAATCAATTTCCATGAATAATTGCACTTATTAAATTCCATCATTTCAACATCCACAGAAGATGAACCCCAGAGGGATGTGACCAAGGGCCCAGAGAAAGCTTTTAAAAAATTAGAACAGTTGCCAATACTTCCTACGTTATTCACCCACTTTATTAGAAACCATTACGAGAAAATTACGCAAAATGATGAGACAGAATTCTTCTCCTAATAAAAACACTATTTTCAATAAGGTTGTGAATCAGAATGTGCTGCTGGCAGGAACAAGGGGAAAAAAAAAAAAATAGATGTGATGTGGGCTCATCCTACCTGTTGTAAAATTTCCTGTGACACCTGTGCACGAGGGGTGTGCATGATCTTAAGCGTGAGACGGGAAAGCAACAATAAAGTCTGATACCTAAATAAATGATGAACTTCAGCGAGGTTTTACTCTCGCCTCCAAAGACCTCATCCCTTTTGATCCTCGTGCCTTGCAGCGATTGCTTCCTCTTGGCTCCCCAGCTCTCCTTTGTCTCGTCAGACAGAGCCTGTGGAGAGGTCACCCCACTTCGCCTCAATCCCTTCCGTGATGTATCTAGCTGAAAAACTGGGGGTTTTTTGCCGCTTCCCGAGGTTCGCTGCAGCTCTACTTTTCATTGTGCCTTCGTAGGCTATTTTGAAACACGCTGCATACCTGTGTATGATTTAGATTCTGGAGCGGCAAATGCTTTCATTAGAGAGCAATCAGATTTGTTTGACATCAGCTGCCTTTCAGAAATCCTGCCCGACTCTCCTGTACAGGGGCTGTTTTCGCACCCCCTGTGCCCAAACCCAATAATCCAGCTCCACGTGCGGCATTATTTTACCTCTACAAGCTTGTGCTGTAGTCCTGAGAGAAATGATGATGAAAAACTCGTAAAACTAGTGCCGTGCCAGGTTCAGCGGGGATGAAAAACACGCCCGATCTTCTCCCTGGGAGCGATTTTCTTCTCTCCGTCTTCGGACCGGCACAAAAGCACCTCCTGGACGTCTTTCCAAAGACCTTACTAGTTGAGAGCTGGAGAAGAGGGATGCACGTAGGTATTGAAAGTTGGAGCTGACAGCCCTCAGGCTGGTTCTTTGGCTTTATTCCCTTCCCAGCATCAGTTGCCCTGGAAATTCCTGCCCTCGTGATCCCTCTTTGCCTGGCGGTTCCTGCCGTAGATGTGCGATCGGGTTGTCATTCCTGCTCGGTAGATATGTAAGGCTGCAGGTCCTCCTGCTGATATTTGTGGGGATTTTGTTCCCTGTGCAGCCACGGGTCGTCGTTGGTCGCCTGCACGCAGGCCCTGTGAATACGGGTGCTTGGGTACCATAGGTATAAATGGCCGGACATCCAGTGATTCATTGTCTTCTGTAATATTTTTATGCAAAATTCTATCACTCCAAAATCTAATCCTAAATTACTTCCCGCTCTCATGAAGTTGAGGCAGAGTCAGAAACAAAACATGAGGCTTTGATCTTTGAGCTCGGGACCCTCTTATCTTCTCTGTGACCAGGTTGGAAAGAAGATGGTGGCTTCGCTTGGGGTCAGTGTTTGGTGGTGAAACCTTTGGGATCAGACTGAACTCATGCTAAACTCTCTACCCTGCTCTCTAGACTCTTTATTTTACCCAACTTCAGCTGTTTGAGTCACCTGAGCTTGAGCCCTTGTTAACTTCTCTAGTCCACCAAGGAGGGAAAGACAACAGCAAGGGGTCGTTCAGGCCATCCAGGAGCTCCATCACCGTTGAGCACGGTGGGTGTAACGGTCACTTAGCCACAGCGTGCGCTTACCCATCAGGATTCGGTGGTTTAGAGCTGACGGGGAAATTCCAAAAGATCTTTGCACCTTCGATCGGCTGCTAATGATCGAGTAAAAATACTTTCTGTTTAGTACTTGCTGGCTTTGGAGGAGAATCGGGTATCCAAGTGTCTTTAGAAATCCGATTAAACACTTCACCTTTGTAATCCTTTTTTTTAAAAAAAAAAAATAAATTAAATCTGCTTGAAACTCCGAGGCTTGGAAACGGTGGGCGATCTCCTCCAGTAGATCAGCCATAGGGAAGGATGGAGAGCTACACCCTCGCCAAGTGGCCTGCTTTTTAATTCCTTCCCCCCCTGATCGTGCAACACCAATTTGCACAAGTCATCTGGCGGCTTCGCGTCGCTTTTCAGGGACTTAATTAATTTCCTTCCTTCAAGCAAAACTTTTTTAACGCCTGAATCAGCGCCTGCACCCGAGCTGTTACAGCATTTGTCTGAGTAGTCTACTTCAGCTACTGAATAAATCACTTCAAAACCACGAAGAAAAGTGCTCAGTCTTTCAGAATAGTGATTGAGAACTTTATTCTGTGCGATGATCATCTTGAATACAACTATCTAGAGGTAACACTCGCACTCTAGACTGAATTAAATAGAGTGATTTTCTCATGACTGAGTGGTCGTATTGCCTTAGAGACGCTCTCCACAGGTACAGAGAACATCAGAATATCCAGGGACTTAAGTTTTGTCAGTGAAGGATTTGTTGTATTTTCTCTCCGCAGTGTACGAAAGAGACTTGATGTCGGTCTCATAAATTTCAGGAGCAAGCATCCCCTGCTCTCATTCAGCCTTTTCTGTGACAGAGAAATCAGTGCTTGACTGACTCTCAAATTAATAATTCTAACAAGGAGACCCACTTGTAGTGAGCCACTTCATTTCCTTTCTTTTTTTTTAAAAAAAAAAAAAAAACAATAAAAACTATTCTGTGCTTGTGCTTATAAATGCCAAGGCTATCGGCTGATAAACGGTGGTTTTAACAATATTGGAAAATTCACAGATGCTAATTCTGATCTTTTACGCCTAGGAAGTAACGATTTCTGAACTGATCCAGCTCGGAAGGCATTAAGCATAGTAATGAACTGGCTGGGCTCATGTCTGTGGAGCTTTGTACTAAAGCTTACTCATGAAATAAATGTTGCAAAGGGATGAAGCATGCCAAGGAGATTTCCATTTACCAATTGTGCAAACGTACACACACACACCCACCCCCAAATATCTGAACCACCACACCGGCTGTAATAATTGGTGTAAAACTTCCAGTAGATGATAAACCCGTGGTTTTCACTCATGTCTTGGCAAAGTGGAACG